TCTTGAAACTGCTCCACTACAAACCCAGTCGAAGTTAATGGGGGCCTGTTCGGCCCGCCTTTTCCTGTAGTCCACGATCAGCTCCTTTGTCTTGCTCACATTGAGGGAGAGGTTGTTGTCCTGCCACCACACTGCCAGTTCTCTGACCTCCTCCCTATAGGCTGTCTCATTGTTGTCGGTGATCAGGCCTACCACTGTTGGGTTGTCAGCAAACTTAATGATGGTGTTGGAGTCATGTTTGGCCACACAGTCGTGGGTGAACAGGGAGTACAGGAGGGGACTAAGCACGCACCCCTAAGGGGCCCCAGTGTTGAGGATCAGCGTGGCAGACGTGTTGTTGCCTACCCTTATCACCTGGGTGCGGCCCATCAGGAAGTCCAGGATCCAGTTGCAGAGGGAGATGTTTAGTCCCAGGGTCCTTAGCTTAGTGATGAGCTTTGTGGGCACTATGATGTTGAACGCTGAGCTGTAGTCAATGAACAGCATTTTCACATAGGTGTTCCTTTTGTCCAGGTGGGAAAGGGCAGTGTGGAGTGCGATTGAGATTGCGTCATCTGTGGATCTGTTGGGGCGTTATGCGAATTGGAGTGGGTCTAGGGTATCTGGGATGAAGCTGTTGATGTGAGCCATGACCAGCCTTTCAAAGCACTTCATGGCTACTGACGTGAGTGCTACGGGGCGCTAATCATTTGGGCAGGTTACCTTCACTTCCTTGGGCACAGGGACTATGGTGGTCTGCTTGAAACATGTTGGTATTACAGACTCGGTCAGGGAGAAGTTGAAAATGTCAGTGAAGACACTTGCCAGTTGGTCTGCGCATGCATTGAGTACACGTCCTGGTAATCCGTCTGGCCACGCGGCTTTGTGAATGTTGACCTGTTTAAAAGTCTTGCTCACATCGGCTACCGAGAGCGTTATCACACAGTCGTCCAGAACAGCTGGTGCTCTCATGCATGCTTCAGTGTTGCTTGTCTCGAAGCAAGCATAAAAGGCATTTAGCTCGTCTGGTAGGCTCGCGTCACTGGGCAGCTCGTGGCTGGGTTTCCCTTTGTAGTCCGTAATAGTTTGCAAGCCCTGCCACGTCCGACGAGCGTCAGAGCCGGTGCAGTAGGATTTAATCTTAATCTTGTATTGACGCTTTGCCTGTTTGATGGTTCGTCTGAGGGCGTAGCGGGATTTCTTATAAGCATCCGGATTAGTGTCCCGTTCCTTGAAAGTGGCAGCCCTAGCCTTTAGCGTACGGTCACTGTGAGGACGATGTCGTTGATGCACTTATTGATGAAGCCGATGACTGAGGTGGCATACTCCTCAATGCCATTGGATGAATCCCGGAACATATTCCAGTCTGTGCTAGCAAAACAGTCCTGTAGCTTAGCATCCGCGTCCTCTGACCACTTCCGTATTGAGCGAGTCACTGGTACTTCCTGCTTTAGTTTTTGCTTGTACGCAGTAATCAGGAGGATATAATTATGGTCAGATTTGCCAAATGGAGGGCGAGGGAGAGCTTTGTGTGTGGAGTAAAGGTGGTCTAGAGTTTTTTTCCCTTTGGTTGCACATGTGACGTGTTGGTAGAAATGAGGTAAAATGGATTTAAGTTTGCCTGCATTAAAGTCCCCGGCCACTATGAGCGCCGCTTCTGGATGAGCATTTTCTTGTTTGCTTTTGGCCTTATACAGCTCGTTGAGTGCAGTCTTAGTGCAAGCATCGGTTTGTGGTGGTAAATAGACGGCTACGAATAATATAGATGAGAACTCTCTTGGTAGATAGTGTGGTCTACAGCTTATCATGAGGTACTCTACCTCAGGCGAGCAATACCTCAAGACTTCTTTAATATTAGACATCCCGCACCAGCTGTTATTGACAAATAGACACACCCCCCCGCCCCAGATGTAGCTTCTCTGTCCTGCCGATGCATGGAAAATCCCGCCAGCTCTATATTATCCGTGTCGTTGTTCAGCCACGACTCAGTGAAACATAAGATATTACAGTTTTTTATGTCCCGTTGGTAGAATATTCATGATCGTAGATCATCCATTTGTTTTCTCCAATGATAGAACGGATGGTAGTGGAAGTTTACTCACTCACTCACCTATAAATTCTCAGAAAGCAGCCCGACCTTTGCCCCCTTTTTCTCCCTCTTTTCTTCATGCAAATGACAGGGATTAGGGCCCGTTCCCGAGAAAGCAGTATATCCTTCGCGTCGGACTCATTAAAGAAGAAACCTTTGTCCAGTGAGAGGTGAGTAATCGCTGTTCTGATGTCCAAAAGTTATTTTCAGTCATAAGAGACGGTAGCAGCAACATTATGTACACAATAAGTTAAAAAATAAGTTACAAACAACGCGAAAAAACTAACGAAACAGCACATTCCCTCCGGCGCCATAAGATCTATGGAAGGGAGCGCATGTCAAATGATGGGAATGGTGAAGTACAAACTATATAAGACCACTATGAATATTGTTAATATCGGGGGAATGTTGTGCGTGGAATGGTCTGTCTCATTGGCATGTATGTTTTAATTTGATGAACAGACAAGTTGTGGTTTGTTTGACTTGGTAATACTGCCATCTCATGGTAGAAAGAGAAAGGATTGTTTAAAAATGTATTTCTCAATGCGTAACGCTTGAAAGCATTTACTGGAACAACGTTGATTTAAAAAAAGACACAGATCTCTCAAAACCTTTACCATCACCATCACCATCATCATCATCCAAACCAAAAAGTGACACACTAACCTATGATACCTATGTCTCAATGTATATTGTAACAAAAGTATACAATTTCCAATTGAGACATACAAAGTGAGATAGTTCCAAAGGACACATAAAAAAAAGGCACAATACCTAAGTAATACACATAACATTTTATACAATACAAAGACGGTCACAGAGATATTCACAAGTGTGACTTGGGTCCTAGTGAACTTGGTGAACATGTTATATGTCATGTGATACTGTTCATGGAAGGTGCAGCTCTCACCCTCTCTTGTCTTTATCTTTATCATGGGAATTACATAATATTGTGTGATCAAATCTTCAGGGACTCCCCTTGCTCAGTGGTCTACTCTACTTCTTGGTATTGAGTCTCTTCATGGTACACTTTTCAACTGGAGGTTATAGAGTTGGCAGATCTGTTCAGCTTGACTCTTGGTGTGTGAAGGAGATTCCCCCTAAGGCTCAAGTCATGCCTCACAGCATCATACAGTGAGGGAAAAAAGTATTTGATCCCCTGCTGATTTTGTACGTTTGCCCACTGACAAAGAAATGATCAGTCTATAATTTTAATGGTAGGTTTATTTGAACAGTGAGAGACAGAATAAGAACATAAAAATCCAGAAAAACGCATGTCAAAAATGTTATAAATTGATTTGCATTTTAATGAGGGAAATAAGTATTTGACCCCCTCTCAATCAGAAAGATTTCTGGCTCCCAGGTGTCTTTTATACAGGTAACGAGCTGAGATTAGGAGCACACTCTTAAAGGGAGTGCTCCTAATCTCAGCTTGTTACCTGTATAAAAGACACCTGTCCATAGAATAATATAATATGCCATTTAACAGACGCTTTTATCCAAAGCGACTTACAGTCATGTGCGCATACATTTTTACGTATGGGTGGTCCCGGGGATCGAACCCACTACCCTGGCATTACAAGCGCCATGCTCTACCAATTGAGCTACAGAGGACCACAGAAGCAATCAATCAATCAGATTCTAAACTCTCCACCATGGCCAAGACCAAAGAGCTCTCCAAGGACGTCGGGGACAAGATTGTAGACCTACACAAGGCTGGAATGGGCTACAAGACCATTGCCAAGCAGCTTGGTGAGAAGGTGACAACAGTTGGTGCGATTATAATCGCAAATGGAAGAAACACAAAATAACTGTCAATCTCCCTCGGCCTGGGGCTCCATGCAAGATCTCACCTCGTGGAGTTGCAATGATCATGAGAACGGTGAGGAATCAACCCAGAACTACACGGGAGGATCTTGTCAATGATCTCAAGGCAGCTGGGACCATAGTCACCAAGAAAACAATTGGTAACACACTACGCCGTGAAGGACTGAAATCCTGCAGCGCCCGCAAGGTCCCCCTGCTCAAGAAAGCACATATACATGCCCGTCTGAAGTTTGCCAATGAACATCTGAATGATTCAGAGGAGAACTGGGTGAAAGTGTTGTGGTCAGATGAGACCAAAATTTGGCATCAACTCAACTCGCCGTGTTTGGAGGAGGAGGAATGCTGCCTATGACCCCAAGAACACCATCCCCACCGTCAAACATGGAGGTGGAAACATTATGCTTTGAGGGTATTTTTCTGCTAAGGGGACAGGACAACGAACGGGGCCATGTACCGTCAAATCTTGGGTGAGAACCTCCTTCCCTCAGCCAGGGCATTGAAAATGGGTCGTGGATGGGTATTCCAGCATGACAATGACCCAAAACACACGGCCTAGGTAACAAAGGCTCAAGAAGAAGCACATTAAGGTCCTGGAGTGGCCTAGCCAGTCTCCAGACCTTAATCCCATAGAAAATCTGTGAAGGGAGCTGAAGGTTCGAGTTGCCAAACGTCAGCCTCGAAACCTTAATGACTTGGAGAAGATCTGCAAAGAGGAGTGGGACAAAATCCCTCCTGAGATGTGTGCAAACCTGGTGGCCAACTACAAGAAACATCTGACCTCTGTGATTGCCAACAGGGGTTTTGCCACCAAGTACTAAGTAATGTTTTGCAGAGGGGTCAAATACTTATTTCCCTCATTAAAATGCAAATCAATTTATAACATTTTTGACATGCGTTTTTCTGGATTTTTATGTTCTTATTCTGTCTCTCACTGTTCAAATAAACCTACCATTAAAATTATAGACTGATCATTTCTTTGTCAGTGGGCAAACGTACAAAATCAGCAGGGGATCAAATACTTTTTTCCCTCACTGTATATGCTCTCTACACCTGGCAACCACTCTGATCTAATTATCTCTCTCCCTCTCTCCCTCTCCCCCCACCTCTGTTGGCCAGATTTGTTCTCCGCTCTCCTGTCCTCCTCCCACACCACCACCTCCTCCTGGGCTTGTTGGCACCAGGGCATTGCACACGTCTCCAGCCCCCTTAGGAATGCCTCCTCCTGCTGCTCACACTGCACCACAAAGATCCTGTAGACCTCCAGCAGGACAACAAGAATGTTCTTGCAGGTGAAGAAGATCATCAGCTGGTTGAGCACGTTCTGCCTGATCATGAGGTAGAGGCGGTAGACGAGGAACATCCCATCCTGGAGCCCCACAGTCAACAGCAAGTTCCAGACTTCACTGGAATAGCATAGCACTGGATAGCAGGAGGAGGGAGCTCCAGGCATCCTCTCGACCACAGCCACGCTTACCCCCTGAGAGAGGCTCCACTGGGACGAGCCAGGCTGGGACGAGCCAGGCTGGGACGAGCCAGGCTGGGGCTGGGCCTTGGGGGGTCTGGTCTGGGTGAGGACCAAGGGGAACTGCATGATGGCCCAGGAGTTGGTCTTGACCTCGGGCTCCTTGAAGGTGTCAAAGATGTCCAGGATGTCGGCACCCAGGCCCACGTAGGCCATGAGGAGCTGGGAGAGCTGGTCTGGGACATGTCCCCTTTGGGCATGAGCCAGCGGCCCAGAACCAGCACGATGAGCATGGTCTGCTCCAGCGCAGCCACACAATTTTCTGGGCCCAGCTGCAAAATGTCCTGTGTCAGTCAACACAAAACACAATGAGATTAGATGAAAGTTGCTGTGTGTTTTGTGGTGTGACACCTACTGCTGAGATGGGGATGTGAGCCAGCAGCTCCTCTAGCTCGAGGCCAGAGGAGATGTTGACCAGGAGCTTGTACTGCAGCAGGCTGAGCTCCAGGAACCAAATTGAGGGGATGACGGTACTGAGGTAGAGCAAAACCATGGGGGAGAACCTAAAAGTAAAGCAGCGAGGAGTGGATGGGGAGAGCTATTTTTAGCAACACACACATTTTTTGGCCAGTCAGTAAAATAAATAATCCTTCTACAAGTGTCCCATTTCAGACAGCCAATTATTCTCATCATGTATGCAAATCCCACTTGACAGCGCAAAACCTTCTCCACAAGGAGAGAACTTCAAAGTGAGAGGGAGAGAGGGACCTGGAGTAAGCTTCCGTCTCAGCATGCCCCTCCGCACATAGGAGGCAATATCATTGCTGGCTGATTCAGCATCGTTTGGATGGATGGAGAAATGATTCCACTGTTGCATTTGAGTCAGCGATGACATCATTTTGTGTCATCCCTTTGAAGGATGTGAAATATAGGTAATCTGGGGTTTATGTTAATTCAGTTCAGTGCCTGAGCCAGGCCATGCAGTAGACAATGGTGAGAAAAAGAGTAAGAAGGTAAAATAATTGGACGTCTACACACACATGTAAAGAGACTGGCCTTTCATGGAAAATGACAGTGCTTCCAGCAAGCAAGAGATTGACAGAGTTTTTTTTTTTTTTGAGAGAGAGAGAGAGATATTTTGTATGCATACACTGCCTCTGGCAGGAAGTCATAAAAGAGTTCCACCAGTACAGTGGTGAGTTCAGAGATGATTTATCCCCATACAAAAAGGTTTATGTGGAGACAACTACAACCCTTCAACCCCTATACCAACCCTGTAAAAAAAAACACAGGCAGAGCAGTGTAGACTGCGAAGACAGCTAGGCCAACAGGTCTTTCTATCTAACATTTCCGTTTATCGCAACATGAACAGGAGAGGGAAAAACATTTTCGTCGCATCAAATTAATGAGTTCATTTGTGTGGTTAATCGTTATTACAATTGCTCTGTAACCCCGGGGCTGTTTAATTGTTTTTCATTAGGTTTTCCACTCGGGCTATGACTCCAAGACAAGACAAGATAATGAAGATGGTGCAAAAATGGAGGTGCCGCTGTAAGTCTTATATTGTTGTTTGTTTGTGTGTGTGTGTGTGTGTGTCTAGACTGTGAAAATTAAGAAGTGTATATCAAGGTCATGCACTATAATGGAACATATTGCTGCTAAATTAGTTGAGAATGTGATTGTAAATACGAATTGGAAGTAAGTGCAGAATAAGTGGCTGATGTTAGACAAGTTACTGCCTTGTGGAATGTAGATGGAGTGTATGGACTGTATACAGTGCAAAAGGAGGAAGCACTGGCATATTCATATGTGTTTATTCGGTAACACTTTACTTGACACCCAGCGTCATAACACGTTATGACACGGTCATAACCATGTCATAATATGCCATAACAGCTGACAGAACCTATTATAATATGGTCAGAACACTATCATGACACACATATTTAGACCTGTTGTGACATATATTGTGTTATTTTATAGCTGGTTATGACACCTACATACGAGTGTCAAAACCTACACAAGGCAAAACATTCCATTACACCATAGCCTATGTGTCAACAGTGTGTTTATGTTATATATATTATTTTTTTATTGACCATGTTAAATTATCATTGTAATTGTGCACAGATTGATGTCAGACATGCACCTACCCCAATGGTCTGTTGCTGATGACTGAGATGAATGCAGGAGCAGATTTCAGGAGCAGGACAAGACACCCTCTTCTTGACTGATGACTGATATAAGAGCATGTAATTATGTACTATTAGATGCATATTTTAAGAACTAACACAATTAGAGTATTTAAATAACTAACTATACTATAAGTAGATAACTAACTAAACTTTCAACTTTATGTACTAAAAGTAAAAAAAAGATTATTGTGATGATCAAAATGGGTTGTCAGTCTAATTTCTTCATACAATATATAAACTGTATGGTCATACTTAAAGTGAAAATATTCCAGATGAAATTAAATCTTTGTTGAGAGTGGTTTAAATGTAGCTCCAATATTTAAACTTGAAGTTTAACAGGCTTTTGTTTTTGTGAGTAGATACACCCCTGTAATTTGCAGTCCCTCACTTCTATATGATATGGCTAAATTGTGCCACTGTGTCTGCCTTTTAAACACCTCCCATCCGAAATACACACACCACCACCATCCCTGGCACCCAACATGGTCCAGGGCTGGACTACCGCATTTGGGGCCCCGGGGCACCGACCTGGGGGCCCCCTGGAGGTTGGAGGCCCCGGGGCACGTGCCCATTTGGTAATCCGGCCCTGGAGGTAGCCCCATTGGATGAGTAGACACAGGAGATAAGGGATCCCTGAATGTCTGGGTAACATTTCACTTGAAGGGGGTATACATAAGGCATTCATACATCTTTATAAAAATCAGTCATAACAACTTCATGAGTGTTGCAGTATCATTCATAACAACTTTCAGAACACATTTATCCAACATTATTAGAAGTTTCCTCTCTCATGATCTCTCAATTTGAATTGTCTTACAGAATACATAATTATTGTATTTAATTAGGAACTTTTCTTTGAAAATATCCGGGAGAAAATGGATCTGAAGTGGACCGTGAGTTCTGGCCTGGAGCACCAATCATAATGTAAATATTATGTTAGCCCTGTTATGTGTTGTGTGTGTGTGTGTGTGTGTGTGTGTGTGTGTGTGTGTGTGTGTGTGTGTGTGTGTGTGTGTGCGCGTGTCCTCTGGGAGCCATTGTTAGTGAAGGGCAGCAGATTACACTTCCCGTCTCTGCGACGACATCTTCATCACCATCCTTCATGATGTCATCTCTCCGAGCCCAGAACAAAGTTATCTACCCTGGAGGAGCAAGCCTTCGATGGGCAACGTTCAAAGAGAACCCAGCCCTGCCCTTTCCCACACAGGTCTGGACCCTGCCCGGTTCAGCACTGCTGGGCCTGATAACAGCCTTACTCACGCCCCCCATCCAGCCTCCACACAGTAAAAAAAGCTATCACTTCAGACTACAGGAGGTTACAGTAGCCTGTATGTTACTTACTAACCATACAGACAACAACCAGTAGCAGTACTAGTAAGCACGAATAATAGGTAAAAAGCAGTACTAACCATACTGCAAATAAACCACTAGCTTATTTCTGGTTAAAGAGCATATCCATTTAAAAAGCCCTATGAGCAATAACCTTGAAGTTCTTAGGACCACATTCAAATTGGTGTCAAATGAAAGCTAAGAGTATATATTTTTCAGAAATTAAGGCATATATAAAAAGTTCAACCATTTTCCATCCTAAAAATTCAGAAAAAGCAAAAGCTTGGATTTCTGGTCAAACAGATGGAAAACTGGTCATAGAAAACATATAGCAGAAAAAGTCTGAAAATACACTACCGGTCAAAAGTTTTAGAACACCTACTCATTCAAGGGTTTTTCTTTATTTTTACTATTTTCTACATTGTAGAATAATAGTGAAGACATAAACTATGAAATAACACATATGGAATCATGTAGTAACCAAAAAAGTGTTAAACAAATCAAAATATATTTTATATTTGGGATTCTTCAAATAGTCACCCTTTGCCCTGATGACAGCTTTGCACACTCATGGCATTCTCTCAACCAGCTTCACCTGGAATGCTTTTCTAACAGTCTTGAAGGAGTTCCCACACGCTGAGCACTTGTTGGCTGCTTTTCCTTCACTCTGCAGTCAAACTCATCCCAAACCATCTCAATTTGGTTGAGGTCTGGGGACTATGGAGGCAATGTAATCTGATGCAGCACTCCATCACTCTCCTTCTTGGTAAAATACAGTGGCTTGCAAAAGTATTCATCCCCCTTGGCGTTTTTCCTATTTTGTTGCATTACAATCTGTAATTTAAATGGATTTTTATTTGGATTTCATGTAATGGACATTGGTGAAGTGAAATGAAAAAAATAACATGTTTCAAAATATTCTAAAAAATAAATAACGGAAAAGTGGTGCGTGCATATGTATTCACCCCCTTTGCTATGAAGCCCCTAAATAAGATCTGGTGCAACCAATTACCTTCAGAAGTCACATAATTAGTTAGATTGCACACAGGTGGACTTTATTTAAGTGTCACATGATCTGTCACATGATCTCAGTATATATACACCTGTTCTGAAACACCACTAAGCAAGAGGCACCACCAAGCAAGCGGCACCATGAAGACCAAGGAGCTCTCCAAACAGGTCAGGGACAAAGTTGTGGAGACGTACAGATTAGGTTTGGGTTATAAAAAAATATCAGAAACTTTGAACATCCCACGGAGCACCATTCAATCCATTATTAAAAAATTGAAAGAATATGGCACCACAACAAACCTGCCAAGAGAGGGCCGACCAAAGATAAACCTGAAGGAGCTGCAAAGCTCCACAGCCGAGATTGGAGTATCTGTCCACCACCTCAAGCTGAACCTCAGCAAGACGGAGCTGCTCTTCCTCCCGGGGAAGGACTGCCCGCTCCATGATCTCGCCATCACGGTTGACAACTCCATTGTGTCCTCCTCCCAGAGTGCAAAGAACCTTGGCGTGACCCTGGACAACACCCTGTCGTTCTCTGCTAACATCAAAGCGGTGACCCGATCCTGCAGGTTCATGTTCTACAACATTCGCAGAGTACGACCCTACCTTACACAGAAAGCGGCACAGGTCCTAATCCAGGCACTTGTCATCTCCCGTCTGGATTACTGCAACTCGCTGTTGGCTGGGCTCCCTGCCTGTGCCATTAAACCCCTGCAACTTATCCAGAACGCTGCAGCCCATCTGGTGTTCAACCTTCCCAAGTTCTCTCACGTCACCCCGCTCCTCCGCACACTCCACTGGCTTCCAGTTGAAGCTTGCATCTACTACAAAACCATGGTGCTTGCCTACGGAGCTGTGAGGGGAACGGCACCTCCTTACCTTCAGGCTCTGATCAGAACCTACACCCAAACGAGGGCACTACGTTCATCCACCTCTGGCCTGCTAGCCCCCCTACCTCTACGGAAGCACAGTTCCCGCTCAGCCCAGTCAAAGCTATTCGCTGCTCTGGCACCCAATGGTGGAACAAACTCCCCCACGATGCCAGGACAGCGGAGTCACTGACCACCTTCCAGAGACACTTGAAACCCTACCTCTTTAAGGAATACCTGGAATAGTAATCCTTCTACCCCCCCTTTACTACCACTGTCTTTTGTCTAAACTAACACCTGACTTATTTCACCTGCTAGCACTGACTTGTTTAAAGAAATGTACTTATTGTGATCGAGATGTAGTTGTCCCTGATTGCACTGACTTTGCTCACAGCTGCTTGTTTGAAGAAGTGTACTTACTGTGATCAAGATGTGGTTGTCCCACTGGCTATCCTAAATTGAATGCACCAATTTGTAAGTCGCACTGGATAAGAGCGTCTGCTAAATGACTTAAATGTAAATGTCCATAGGACCACTTTAAGCCGTACACTCAACAGAGCTGGGCTTTACGGAAGAGTGGCCAGAAAAAAAGCCATTGCTTAAAGAAAATAATAAACAAACAAGTTTGGTGTTCGCCAAAAGGCATATGGGAGACTCCCCAAACATATGGAACAAGGTACTCTGGTCAGATGAGACTAAAATTGAGCTTTTTGGCCATCAAGGAAAACGCTACAGTTGAAGTCGGAAGTATACATGCACTTAGGTTGGAGTTATTAAAGCTTGTTTTTCAACCACTCTTGTTAACAAACTATAGTTTTGGCAAGTCGGTTAGGACATCTCCTTTGTGCATGACACAAGTAATTTTTCCAACAATTGTTTACAGACAGATTATTTCACTTATAATTCACTGTATCACAATTCCAGTGGGTCAGAAGTTTACATACACTAAGTTGACTGTGCCATTAAACAGCTTGGAAAATTCCAGAAAATGATGTCATGGCTTTAGAAGCTTCTGATAGGCTAATTGACATCCTTTGAGTCAATTGGAGGTGTACCTGTGGATGTGTTTCAAGGCCTACCTTCAAACTCAGTGCCTCTTTGCTTGACATCATGGAAAAATCAAAGGAAATCAGCCAAGACCTCAGAAAAAAAATGTGTAGACCTCCACAAGTCTGGTTCATCCTTGGGAGCAATTTCCAAATGCCTGAAGGTACCACGTTCATCTGTACAAACAATAGTACGCAAGTATAAACACCATGGGACCACGCAGCCGTCATACCGCTCAGGAAGGAGAACAACAGCAAAGGACCTTGTGAAGATGCTGGAGGAAACAGGTACAAAGTATCTATATCCACAGTAAAACGAGTCCTATATCGACATAACCTGAAAGGCCTCTCAGCAAGGAAGAAGCCACTGCTCCAAAACCGCCATAGAAAAGCCAGACTACGGTTTGCAACTGCACATGGGGACAAAGATCGTTATTTTTGGAGAAATGTCCTCTGGTCTGATGAAACTAAAATAGAACTGTTTGGCCATAATGACCATCGTTATGTTTGGAGGAAAAAGGGGAAGGCTTGCAAGCCGAAGAACACCATCCCAACCGGAAGCACGGGGGTGGCAGCATCATGCTGTGGGGGTGCTTTGCTGCAGGAGGGACTGGTGCACTTCACAAAATAGATGGCATCATGAGGAAGGAAAATTATGTGGATATATTGAAGCAACATCTCAAGACATCAGTCAGGAAGTTAAAGCTTGGTCGCAAATGGGTCTTCCAAATGGACAATAACCCCAAGCCTACTTCTAAAGTTGTGGCAAAATGGCTTAAGGACAACAAAGTCAAGGTATTGGAGTGGCCATCACAAAACCCTGACCTCAATCCTATAGAAAATGTGTGGGCAGAACTGAAAAAGCGTGTGCGAGCAAGGAGGCCTACAAACCTTACTCAGTTACACCAGCTCTGTCATGAGGAATGGGCCAAAATTCACCCAACTTACTGTGGGAAGCTTGTGGAAGGCTACCCGAAATGTTTGACCCAAGTTAAACAATTTAAAGGCAATGCTACCAAATACTAATTGAGTGTATGTAAACTTCTGACCCACTGGGAATGTGATGAAAGAAATAAAAGTTGAAATAAATAATTCTCTCTATTATTATTCTGACATTTCACATTCTTAAAATAAAGTGGTGATCCTAACTGACCTAAGAAAGGGTATTTCTTACTAGGATTAAATGTCAGGAATTGTGAAAAACTGAGCTTAAATGTATTTGGCTAAGGTGTATGTAAACTTCAGACTTCAACTGTATGTCTGGCGCAAACCCAACACCTCTCATCACCCCGAGAACACCATCCTGCTGCCACCACC